GTACAAAGTATAACATGTGGCATTCTGCAATTTCGTCCTTTTTAAGCAATCTAGAAACTTGATTCGCCGATAATAAATAATCAGTTGATGGTATTATATTTGTAGCTGCAGCAACGTTGTGCTCCATTGGTTGAAACAATTGTTGAGAAATATCAATGTTTTCATTAGTTGTATGGTTAGAATTTATAAAAGTAGTGTTAAGATTATGTTTGTGTCTAATAGGACACAATGTAACATCGTTACCCGACTGAGAGCTTTTTAGTGTCCATGTATCATCAAACCAATCAGGTTTAGGTTTTCTATCTTTCAACCAGTTGCGACCCAAGATAATAGGGGGTGCCAAACATTAAAAAAATCATTTCCTTAATTTTTAAAAAACATTCCCGGGAATTTTTCCCCAGCCAAATTCCCTAAACTTTGCGGGAACGATTTTTTGTGCCCGAGATTTTGCGGGCAAGAAAAAGTATTCCCGAGAAATCTCGGGAAAGAATACTCATTTTCTATTCGTTGTTGAGAAGGAATTATGACGTGAAAATGTAACATTTTATTTATTTTATGATAATCTAAAAGCATCAAATCGCATCTGTGTTTGCATTATAAAGTTTTTCTAAGTTTTTAACTTACCTTTTTTCTCCTTAAATTCCTCTAAAACGTATAATCTAAAATGTCTGATCAAATAAACAGAAACACTGGTGGCGGTCCTTCCAACAACGATTCCGCAGATAAAAGCCTTGATAGAACCAAAACTACACCTGGTCAAATTAAGGCTATGATTGGTTTCTTTGAGAGTAATCAAGACCTTTTTAAGATATATCTTGGTGGACAAAAGTCGTCCGCTCCTTCAGCTGGTAGTCAGATAAAAAAAAGAGAGATCATTGAGAGATTGTTCCAGCAACTTCTGGCAGATAAAGTAATTCCGTCTTCCTGGAATTTCAAATCGGTTGGAAAACGTTTTGAACGCCAACTCGCAAAGTATCGCGATGTAGAAAGAGATATGAACTCTACCGGTTTTGGCTTGACTACAGATGACATTAAACGTGGACTGACCTCCATCGAGATCAAGTGTGAACATTTGTGTGTTGGATTTTCTCGTTTGGCTTCTCTGCATGGTGTTAGACCAAACATAACTCCTTTTTGTGTGGCTTTCCATGGTGCCCCTGGTGGTACCGAGTACACATACTCCAACAGAGTAAGGCCATCATTAGCTGCAATTGAGGCACAAACTTTTGCAGTTTTTGGTGGTCAACAAGAGGCGATTGAAGAGGTCAGTCGATTGTTGGTTGGAAGTGATGCAGCTGAATCTTCAACAAGATCATCTGCTTCTCTTTCCTCTGGTGCTCCTTTGGCTGCTGGTGCTCCTTTGGCTGCTGGTGCTCCTTTGGCTGCTGGTGCTCCTTTGGCTGCTGTTGCTTCTCTTTCCTCTGGTGCTCCTTTGGCTGCTGTTGCTTCTCTTTCCTCTGGTGCTCCTTTGGCTGCTGTTGCTTCTCTTTCCTCTGGTGCTCCTTTGGCTGCTGTTGCTTCTCTTTCCTCTGGTGCTCCTTTGGCTGCTGGTGCTTCTCTTTCCTCTGGTGCTCCTTTGGCTGCTAGGTCTTTGTCTGTTGCACCTGTGTCTACTGAGCGTTCTTCCTCTTTCCGTTTTTCTTCTGTTGGGCCAGTCTCAAACGAACCTCTCTCTTTCCCTCGTCCTGCTTTTGGTGAAGCTTTGTCTGGCCAGCCGTCATCCGTAGAAGTACCAGCTACCAATGTTGCTTCTTCTCCTCTGTTGGTTCCATCTAATACCCAGCCATCAAGTCGCACACCATTATTTGAATCATCATCAGAGAATAATTTGTTCGATTCCTTTTCTTTTGATGATGGTGGAGATTTTGATGATGCTGGGTCGTATCATGCTGTGGACCATGACAACGATGTCAACAGTGGTAGTGCTGCTCGTGCTGGTGGTGGTGTTGGTGCTGGTGTTGCTGGTGGTGCTCGTGCTGGTGCTGGTGCTGGTCGTGCTGGTGCTGGTGGTGGTCGTGCTGGTGCTGGTGCTGGTGGTGCTCGTGTTGCTGGTGTTCGTGGCGGTGCTGGTGGTCGTGGTCGTGCTCGTGGTCGTGCTCGTGGTCTTGCTCGTGGTCGTGGTCGTGGAGGTGTTAGTCGCGCTGGTACCGTTCAGCCTGAAATGCCAACGGCTGATCGCATCCGTGTTGATCCCGATCACGCCATGAGAAACAAGAGGATCAAAAGAGACTTTTCTTCTGAGTATCGCGAGGCTCAGTTGAGAAGGGACGAAGTATTGAGGGAAAATAGTCAGAGGGAGTTCGATTTGGGTATGTCCCAATTGCTTGTTACTTGTCTGACAACGAACGCCTTCAATACATCGTCATTTACGGAAATTACCAGACATCTGGCTGATTTTCGTAGATCTCTGAGGGATCCTGTCGATGATGATGATGTATATGATGATACAGAGTATCTTTACAATCTTGATAATGATGAAGATGAGCACGACGACGGTAATCCTTCAACAGATGTAGATTAATATTTTTTTCTTTTTAAATAAAGTTTTTTTTTTCCTCTTACAAATATATTTACATTCATTGTTCAGAAACCTTCACAGCAAGGACGCAATCCAATCCTTTCAACACAAATGCACATTATATCAACTCAGTTGGTTTATTCATTATCATATCCGAAATGTACTGCATAATCTGCTAAAACTACTTCAGCAACGGAATTCCTCCAAGTATTCAATATACGGCTGGAAACACTGTTGACGTTGTCAAATGACTCCAGCAACACCACGTCTAATCTCGACTGCCCGACGTCAACATCCTCATAAAAATCACCGTCAAAATTGTCATTTTCCAAGATCAAATAGTTGTGCAAAAGACCGCATACATGTACCAATTCATGTATTCTCATGATATCCTCCTCACAATTGATCTGAATCGGAATGTTCTTCAAGATTCTCCATTTTCCCTATAATACACCAATGGTATTTTCAACAGCAACTCGGGCGGAAGAGTGAACCCTGTTGAAGTCTTCGCACTTCACCGAACTTACAACCTGGGGTCTTCTGTAAGGAGTAAGCACAAATGGATGAAGAGCATATCCGGAATCGCCGAGAAGGTACTCATGGCTTGCAGCATCGCCACATGTGAAATACTTGGCTTCTCTATTAATCATGAAGCTAGCATGCTCTACACATGTGGCATCACACATCGATCCTGCTTGTCCTGATTGGAAACCCAAAATGATCTTTCGTTCATCACAAACAACCTGACAGTTCACAGAATAGAACCCCTTTCTATTGTAATAGGATTCGGGGCAGTTGGTAGGCTTTTGAGAAAGGCGAAAATGGGTGCCATCGATGTATCCAATACAATTACGAAAAAAGTGCTGCTTTTTGATGGCTTCAGCTGCTCTTTCTCTTTGTTCCTTGTTAGGCCAGCTCATCAAGTGTTTAAGGTTGTCGGTGATTGCCTTAAAACAGCGGTTGGTGTAGTCAGTGACAGAGCCTTTGCTGATTCCAAACAAAGTTGCAATCTGCTCAATGCTGTTACCAGTTCCATCGTGACTTAATCGTCTCAAGGTTACTGCAAGTTGAACGTGAACATCCCTTTGAGGAATGAAACTCTGGTTGTTGAAGACTGCGTGACCTTCAATCAAGCGAAGGAGCTTTAAGAACGAGTCCTTATTCATTCTACAAATCTTAACAAACTCTTCGTCATTCCACTCGAGGAAATACTCGCGATACTGGTCCAGTTTAGGAATGCCAGGTCCACTGTTGAGAACACGTTTCGTTTCTAATCCACTCAAGAGTTCGTGCATCTCTTCCGCTTCTTCTTCATTTTCAATGATAACATTGTGCTTAAGCAAAGACTTCATCTCGTTCAAAGTTTGTTGTCTAATAGATTGTTTGGGCATTTTAAAAGTTGAAAATAAAAGAGAATATTTATGAAAAATGGTTTAAAGTGAAAAGGGGAAGCTGGAGCTGTATTTGGCTTATGACGAGTTTTCCCAGCCTAAAAAGATTCCCGGAACTTTGAAATAAAATTCCCGCGATTTTTGAAAAAATTTAATGTTTGGCACCCCCTAATGTCAAATTTGGATTCAAAAACGAACGCAGATATTTGTTCAGAGTGGTCATACTTATCGCCTAGATGCATCTGGAATAGAATCTTTTTGTTAATGTTAGATTGATTACCATCCGCCGTTTCGACTGCTTGATTGGTAACTGGAGTTATTTCAAGTGCATGGGAAAGAAGTTTTGGATGAGCATAACATGTGCTTGCACCACTATCAATAAGTACTGTGAAATGTGATCCTCCAACCATAGCCTGGTACAACGGTAACGTTGGTGAGGCGTTCTGAAGATTATTGAGAAAGGATATATCGCATTCGGGAAAATCCATAGCAGCGCATTCGGATAATGAAGACAAATAGCGAGATGGATCTTGACTACCAGAAGGTGTCAGATCAATTAAATCTTTATTATTGTGCAACGGGTCATATTGATCCAAAATAGCATTAAAGGATTGATTAGAGTTAGTATTGTTATGATTATTACGAAAATTATATGAAGTACGACTATTAATATTATTCTCATTGTTACGATAGTTATTGTATCCAGTAGTACCGTAGTTATTATTGTAACCGGTACGACCATTATTATGTCTATTATTGGAACGCTGATAACAATCACGGGCAAAATGACCTGTCTTATCACATACAAAACAGCGTAGTCGGTTGTTGGGAGTATTACGAGAGTTATTGCGCTGATTATACGAATGATTAGGTCCTGGTTGTTGACGATGTAAAGCATTCAATAGTTCCGTATTTTGTCTTTGCAATTGTTGAATCATATTAATACTGGTGTCCATGGGATCATCAATGTATGTTGAAGAGGTGGGAACAGCCCTGGTAGTTTGACCATACATCGTAGCTGATTCAAAAGCAGTTGCACATTGGTAAGCTGCTTCAAGATCGACTGGATCTTGCATTAAAACATGTGCGCGAGCACGGTCTTTTAATCCACGAATGAATTTGTCAATAGCCTCATCGTCAGTAATGGAGACTTCAAGTAAAATATCTTGAAAATCGTGAATATAATCTTGAATGTGATGGGTTTATTTAAGATCAAATAATCTATCACGGGCAGACTGGGCAGCAAACTGTGGCTTAAATTCAGCATCGATAGCAGATTTAAACACGGTCCAACTATTTAAATTGTGGTTGATACGTTGGGTGGCACGAGCGTACCATAATTGTGCTCTCCCAGTCAGGAGGGTCACACCGTATTCAGTCCATCGAGACTCGTCGAAATTGTTGAATTGTAAGTATCGCTCAACAGAAACATACCAATTATCAATGACTGATACAGAACGAGTGCCATCGTATGTGGGTGGTGTAGGAATACGAATATTATTTGCTGGTTTGTTGTTGTTATTATAAATGAAATTTAAAATATTGGCCAATTCATCTCGACTGACTGTATTCTGTGTATGGGACAATAAATTGGGGTGGCTATCCATATTAGATGTAGATGGTTCAGTATTATTATTCATATACAGTTTTTTAAATTCTTTAGTTAGTTTTGATGCGTGTTGTTTAACTGTTAAATATTCCACTGAAGTTAAAATTCTGTAGTTGCTATCTGTGTTCTCGTTGACTGTATATCCTTGATTGATTAAAAATTCCTTGAAATCTGCTTGTTGTTCCTTCTTGATAAGTGTCAATGCTTGTTTTATTATATACTTCTGTAATTTATTTCCTATGCTTTCCACTGATGACATTCACGTAATACTTTCTGCTTATAAATTTTTTTTTTTTAAAAAAAAAATATAGCGTAACTTTTTCAGAGCTGGTGCTACCAATTGTCGTGATCGTTCTTAGTTATAAGTTAATTATGAATAGAAGATAAAAGATGCTTTATTATATTTTAGGATTTGTGATTAATTTATATTATTGAAAGTAGTACAAAAGATAGTACGACACATATGTCGTGGCTTCGGTCACAGAAGTAGTTTAATATTTAAAATAGTGTTCACTAAAATATAATAAAATCATCTTTTGATCTCCTAAATAATCTTTGATATATTCGGTCGTTACATAACAATAGAGACTTTAGGGGACTAGATTTTCACTAATTTTTACACTTTTTTTTTTTTTGGTAATAAATATTGATGTCATCGTAGATTTGCACTTTCCTAATAAAGCGTAACATATAATCCAATAACGTCAGATATTTATGAATCTGCGACTTAAATATAATGATAACATGAACTCATGGCATTACTCTTTTTTTCTTCTCAAATAATCTTTAAAACAATACATAAAAATGTCTGAATATATCATTAACATGTGGAGAAATAATTTAACCAGTGCCTACAACCGGCCTCGTGAAGTAGAGGAGCAGACTCTAGAAGAATTCGAAGACGAATATGAGGACGAATATGAGGACGAATATGAGGACGAATATGAGGACGATTTCGAGGACGGTTTCGAGGAAGATATGCCATCCACGATGTACAATGATGGTCAACGTCTAGATATCCAGTGTGATAGTTGCGAGAATAGATTTTAAAAGAGAAAAATAATAAAATACTTTGAGACTGCTTATAAGTTTTATTAAGAGTGAAAGTAGATTAAAAGATTGAGAGGGTTCTATTCTAACTATCAGTTTGCATATTTATATATGTTAAGAGAAATCGGATTATGAATTTAGTTTGATGGATAAGTTACACAGCACTAAAATAGTGCTTGTAGTTGGATATGATATAATGTATAAGAAAATAGTTCGTGTTGTGATGTAATAATGTATGGGGTGATGAAGTGAGATTTACTTTTAATATTGTTTTATGGTGTGATTAGTAACAACAGTAGGTGGATCACCACATCCAGTCCCTCACTGACGAGATGAGTATCCATCTATTTAGATTTACGTATCAGCAAATACAATCGGTAGTGATCAGCATGCATCTTACTGAGAGGATTACCTGTCGTGCAAATACATCCCAACAATTTTATTGGGATACCATCGAGGCATTTGCTATAATGCTTCGTAGACTTGCCTATCCGTCTCGATTGATTGATCTTGAACTCCTTTTTGGTATAAGCTACTCGACTATTTGTACGATATTCAACGAAATGATTGTATTATTGTATTCGAAGTACAACGAAGGTATACGTCTTACAAGAAATCATTTGCGACCTTACAACTTGAGACGATTCAGCGAAGCTATCATCCAGAAAGGCTCGCCTTATACTGAGGTCGTTGGATTTATAGATGGAACTTTGAATGCTGTGTGTAGACCTGGTGAAAATCAAGGTAGTGTATACAACGGTCATGTGAGAGGGCACGGGTTGAAATACCAAGCAGTTGTAACTCCTGACGGTATCACTGTTAGCTTGTGCGGACCATTTGCTGGGGCGATTCATGACATGAACATGTTGGATAGCTCAGATATCATTAGCGAATTGGATGAAATCTTGGACTGTGAAGATATTGGCGATAAATTCTACGCTCTGTATGGTGATCCCGCATATCGGCCATCATGTTGCCTTATTAGACCTTTTTTGACTGGCTTGGCTCTAACAGATAATCAACGTACAACAAACGAAATGATGTCCTCAGTCAGGGAATGTGTGGAGTCGGAGTTTGGGCATGTCGCAACTCTGTTTGCTTTCGTCGGATATAGACCATGACAAAAGGTGTTTCTAAGTCGCGTTGGAATGTTCTATGTTGTTTCAACCCCTTTGAAAAATATACATACCTGTATTAATAATGGAAATCAAACCAGCTTTTACTTTGGACTATCACCTCCTACGTTACAACAATATATCGACAGTATAACTAATATTTAATAAATTTATTTTGAGTCGTTTTGTTTAAATTGATACATTTTTTGAGGTATTTGTTGAGGTGGTTTTGGGGGTAAGGATAGACAACCTGCGGAGGGTATTGCGGAGCGTTGGCTTGAGACGATATTGCTTTATTTACAGATGCCAACAAGTTATCTTCAAAGATCTTTTGATTTATCTTGATGTCATCTGCAAATTTCTTTTGGCTTGCCTCTACAGCCGCAATTGTCTCCTCTTTGCCTTTGTTGATCAAACTTTTAACATCGCTCAAAAAAGCACGCTGGTATTGTATCTGCTTTTCCGATTCAGCCAAAGCAAAAGAATACTCATTCTTTCGTGCTTCCTCTACTGCACGCTTTCTATCAAAATGTTTTTGTTGTGTGGGACGTTCCATCTTGTTGTTAGCGTCTTCGATCACAGACATCTCCTCTCTTGCCTCTGGATGCTGAGATATCTGTGGGTGCTTTTCTTTAATCTCACGTTGAGTTGCCTTTATTTTTTTGTTCACTCCTTTTAACGATTGAGAGCATAACTCTGCCTGGGCTTCTCTTTTTTTTATGCGGGCAGAGCTGGCCTGAGCATCTTCTTCATCCTTGTTCGTCTCGACTTCAGTCATCTTAAGTTTAATCGATGGAAATCATTAAAACCTTGTAGCATATCAAATTTTTAAATTAGTTACCTCATCATCCATTGAGCTCAGTCGATTCTCGAGAGTCGTTTCAGAATCATTTGTACCACTGGCAAGTCGATCCGCATTTTTCTTTTCTATTATTTCTTTTCTTGCTTTCTTCAAATAGTTTCTTAATGAAGTCAAACCAAGAGACCTCAAATGAGGGTCTACTTTGTTGACTTCTTGGAGAACTAAATCCCATGCTACTGTTACATTGTTTTTTTTCTTGTCAAAAGGACGATGAGATATGCTGGCCTCAACGGCTGCCAATTTTCTACTTTCTGACCATTGACCACGTTTCTCAGTAGACTTCGACCCAGTCAATTTACCGTCTTGAATAAAATTGATGTTGCTGTCATTGTTGCTATCATTATTGCTGTTTATATTGTTGTCTTTGTTACTGTTGCTACTGCTGTAGCCGAAATTGTTAGGTTCTGTGCTTTGTTGGGACATGTTTTATGTTTATTAAATGATAAAAGTAAGAAAAGACAACTAAAATCATGAAATCATAGACTCATAATAATGCAAAAATCGGTGGTAAAATAATGTAATATTAACAGTTACAATTGGCTTATTTCAAAGACAGATTAGTGAAAGCGTTTTCACTAATAGTGTAAAAATTGATGAAAACTTACACTATCTTGTGCAACATCGGATTTCAAAATCGTGAAATTTACAAATTAGTACAGTGAAAATTAATCCCCTAAAGTTTCTAATAGTTCCTCGATACATACAGTACCTGGGGGTTACTCAAACCTTTGGATCCTTCATTGATTGGATATTGAATTTACAAATTGATATACAGCAGCCAATATATTTCTGATCCAAAGGCTGTTATTAAATATAGCGGCCAATACATTTTGAATCGAAAGGCTGTAATTCAAAATTCTGTAGTTGTCCTTCATATTCCCATTTTAATGTTTGTGTGTGCAATGCCGCATGCAGATCGTAAAGTATGAAGCTTTGACGTTAAAAATTTAGTATAAACTATTGATCATATTTAATAAATTGTCTGTGCAATGGATGGTTAATAAATTCACGAGCTGATGCACAGTTTGCAAACTTTAATAAGAAATATGGCATTACGAATAATCCTCAATATGGAATCTTTATGGGATATATTGTAAAATAGCTTAACATATGCTTTTCTTTCTTTTACCAGTTACTTTTAAATTTACTTATGGTTTAACAATCCAATAAAAACAAAGCTAACAAGAACAAAGGAAAATCTGTGGACAGACAAAGTGCAACGCCTGGAACACAGAATTCAATCACAAGTTTTTTCAGCAGTGGTTCCAATTCTACAAGCCCTGGTCCTTCTCAACGAAATGAGTTATACTACGACGATCAAGACGTAAGTCCTTTTTGTATTTAGCAATTTTTTGTATTAATCCTTCGTTCTTTTAATGACTAAAGTGTACTGTGGAACAAGTTGAAATGCCTGCACCCATTGCTGACGATTTGTTTGAGATCTCCAACCCTGATAACAATGGCCCTTTATTGAAGGACCAAATTTCAATTGAAAGTGATTCAGAAGAAGATGATGGTACTGATGCTGAATTAGAAAGCGAACAATTTCAAGACAGTATTGAAATAAACAGTGTTTTATTTAAGTATTTCGAAAAGGTGCAATCTGATTTGACAAAATCAGCTATCCCACCCCCATATTTGGCAAACACGTTTTGGATCCGTCCCATGGATACTTACTTTGCATTACAACAAAGAACCCCTCTCAACGAATGGTATAAACCTGACATATTTTTATGGCAACCCCATCATCTTTTAGAAAACGGGTTTAGTGATCTTAAATGCACCTCCGATCATTGTTCTGGAAAGATTGGGTCTAAGGGCTATTATAAAGATCCACATGCTAGACGTGCTGTCGGTATCACAAGATATTTATTGCATAATGAAATCTTCACTTTTATTTAAATATACTAACAATATATATATCCTTATATTTAAGATGTTTTTACATCATGTCATACAGATATTCGTGTTATGGATGCAAGAAATCGTTTAGCGTTCATGACCCAGAATTTGTTAAACAGCTTCCTATTGCTTTACAAGAAGCTTTTCTCGTAATTTTAACTCACAAAGGATCTGTATCTCGCCAGGTTGCTGATCTCCTTTGACCTTGTGTCCAAAACTCGGTGGGCCCAAAGCGTTTCTCAAAAATTATTAGGGAGCTACATATGCTTGAGCATGACAGATTGGAGCTGGTTTATCTGAATAGCATGCTCCTTAGAAAAAAAAAGAAAGTAAAGGTGTTTCTGCATTTTTTTCTACACAACCTATTGTATACTCTCCGTTCTTTTCATTTGAAATCAATTGGCCTATGCTGGATATGTGACTACGGCTACTTATTTCAGAACCTTATACACAAGCATCATTGAAAAGTGGAAACTTTATATGAATAAGATGCTTATGTTAACAGGTGGAAAAATTATCCGTGGTGACCAT